TTCGTTAAGGTTTAGGTGGCCTAAAACTCGAAAAGCTGTACAAAGAAACTGTAAAGAGGGAAATCGGTTTTGTATCTATTATATTGTTTGCATGGAAGGAACAAAGCCGGTGGAAATCGCATAGATATTGTTTAAGAGGAATAATTCGTTATTTGAGCCACTCAATGCTCAGCAAATTTGGACACTCAAACGCTCATTACTTCTTTCGGCGAGTTGCTCCGCAAAAAGGGGAAGCAGGTTTGGAATCAGCGTTTTAAGGCACGTCTATAAGTATACCTCATCTTCAATCGCCGACTGGTTGGTATTCCTCCCTTATTAAAAAATTGTGGTACACTGCAGTAATAAGTCAGCAACTGTCGATTATGCCTAGCGACTGTCAAATTATGATAGCACGCAACAGGTGTGGCACACAACATTACTTTATGACCTTTGCGTTGAACATAAAATTGCTTAATCAATAGAACTGACTTGTCTGTTTTGCAAAGATGCGGTGTCATTCACACTTCTACGGAAATGCTCGAGTTAGAGATTCTACTGCTAAGAGCCAACAAGACCAAACTCAACAGGCCTTACACTGGCCTGCAATACATTGTGATCTGACATCGAAAACTGATCAGACATACAAGCTCGATCGATGCACGTCAAACTAAGATCTAAATAAGACCGCGATATCGCCTGAAAGAAAGAGCCAAAGTATTCGACAAGTCGTACAGACTACTTGCTGACAGTATCGTCGCGGATTCATCATCGCATACGCTGGATACGTGAGTTCTTCTCTTTAATATGACATTTCTTGTGTGTTGAAGTTGATGACATGATACTAAGGTCGTATTTCATCCAATTGCCAGCGATTACTGAGCAGGGGAGGATCGTGATGTAAAATAACTATAACACGTTCACCGCTTACATGTTCTTGATAAATCACATGTTTCAGCGATTCAAACAAAGCCGTGTCGTCAGAAAGAGATTGTCTAAGGATTTGACAAACACTGCAGACTCTTAGCCGAGAATACCGTCGAGGGATCTTCATCGCGTACGCCGGATAGGTGAGTTCTTTTCCTAGATATGACAGTGCTTGTAAATATGAAATATTTCTGCCGGTAAAATCATAATAGGTTTTATCATTGTATCATTGTAATTATCTCATCTTATCATTCATATTATCGTTTCGGAAGCGATAATGTTTTCAATATACCCTAAAATCCGGCATATAAGATCGCCTCGCAGTAAAGACCGCCTCGCCGATAAGACCGCAAAAGAGCTCTCAGTTAAGTCCGCTTTCGTGACAGCCTCGCGCGCCTCGCGCGCCGCCAAGTCCCGCGGATAAGTCCGCCTTATTTTTTTCACATGAAAACAAGAAGGATGCGCAATTGCGCTGCCTTTTTTGGTCTCAGAATGAACCGAAGCAACAGATCTTTATTCAGGTAGCATTCCATGTTCATCATAACAAACATTCATGGCAACAACTTGACCAAAAGAACGAGCATCATTATCGTTATTATCAGCAACAATCAAAGCGTCGAAATCCTCGTTCATGCCTTCTATTATTGATTCGTCATCGAGAGCCTTGGTGAAACTGTTCGCAATGGTTTCTTCAGTGATTGCATTGAAACTCTCGTAGACTAGTGCAGCTACCTCTCCGTAGGTCATCCTTTTCCTGGCGCCGCCTGTTGTGTACCTTGCTCGTGCTGAATCGGCCATCCATCGCTCCCATCCCGCCCTCAGATTGTCTTTGAAGGGCTTGTTGATGCCGACGTCGAGAGGCTGTAGATATTTGGTCATTCCGCCTGGAATGACCGCGATCTTTGAGTGCTCCTTGAAAAGCTCTCGGACGTCTTCTGTGAGATGGCATCTTAAAAAAGCAAGATAAGCTCAAGAAATGATAAAATACGAAACGATACCTTGCAGAATCTAATATGAGTAATGACTGCGAGGGATCGTTGACATAGCATTTCCGTTTGTTCCACACCTCATGGAGCCATGTCCTCATCAGTTCGTGATTCATCCAGCCTTTATCATTGGCTCTAACTACCACTTCAGGAGGGAAATTATCCTTGGGAACCCTCTTTTTCTTGAATATGATCATCGGTCTTAATTTCTCTCCAGCGGCCGTCACAGAGAGGACAACGGTAAAATTCGATTTTTCGTGTCCTGTTGAGTCAATCCTTAAAGTATCGGCTCCCACTTGATCCACGGTCCTTGAATAAACCATATCGAAGGGCACTGGGACTTCATCGACATTCCCAAGATTGTGGGGGGAGATGTGAAGCGATTCCCTTTGTACGAATCTCCTGAAGTCCGCGCAGATGTTTTCATAATTTTCCGGAAGTGCTTGGCCGACACTGGTTCTTCGCCTCAGAGATAAGTTCTTTCTCTTCATAAAGCCTTTGCACCACATCGCCGATGCCCTGAAGTCCTGATGGCCAGATTCCCGCGCTAACTGCAATGCCTTCTCGCGAATGTCTTTGACAAGCACTGCTCGGCTTCCTTCTCGCGTCTGCACAATCCATGCATAGAGAGCTTCCTCTATTTCCTCCACCTTTGGCTTCCCATGATGGTTGGCGCGTCTCCTCAGTGGCATATCCTCCAGATTTTCTTTATCGGCCTTCCATCTTCTTACCAGACCATCAGAGACTTCGTAGCGAACAGCGGCAGCCGATGTTCCATGTTGCAGGGCATATTCCACCACGTTAAGCTTAAAAAGCGCGGTGTAGGACTTCCTTCTGGGAGCCATTGAGATCCGAGATACCTGAACAGCTTGAGTCACAGCGTGTGAGAGTATGTTGGAAATATAGGGCTCTGCGTGATTGCGAACTTCGCTGAGTTAGCGGTCATTGCTTACTGGAATCACGCGGAGTCCTATAAATTTGTGCTGATCATGGAAAGGTTTACTCTTTTACAAGAAAAAGCAGGCGGCGTCAAATTTGACTACACTATCTTTTGTCTTGGATGTACAGGCTTAATGAAACAACAGATGAGAAAAAGAACAAGGAAGCCTAATGCTTTGCTAAGGTTGAGCATTCTCAGGCTGTCACTCTTCCGTTCAAGAAAGCATTTGACAAAAGCCGTATGGCATGGGTCAACAGAGACTACGTTCAGAACATGAAAACAATAGAAGAAGCAAAAAGTATGGGAGTCAGGTCCAAGGGTTGTAGCCTGTACGGGTTCGAGAGATGTATTAAAAACATTGTAGCTTCCAAAACGATAAGATGAATGATAAGATGAGATGATTGCAATGATATAATGAGAAAACCTATTATGATTTTTCGGACAGAAAAATTCCATGTGTACAAGCACTGTCTTATATAGGAAAAAACCCACCAGCGTATGTGATGACCAATCCGCGACGCGACAAAACTGTCAGCAATTAGACTGCACGACTTGTCGAATCCTTTGGCGGTCTCTTTTAGGGGAGTTCACGGCTTGATTGCAATCGCTGAAACATGTGATATCCAGAACAACTTCTCTGTAGCGTTTTGCAAAACTACGAACCGTTTGTGTCTTTGTACTTCGTCACTTACTGCTTGGAACAGAGTATGCGCGACGATCAGCGTTCTAAAAAAGCTTTGTAGGAGATGCATGTACTGTAGTTAGCCTATATCATAAACCTCCCCTGCCTAATATTCCTGAAAATGGGGTAAAATCCTACCTTACTATCGCGTCATCAATTCCAACACACAAGAAATGTTATATCTAAGAAAAGAACTCACCTATCCAGCGTATATGATGACAAATCCTCGGCGAAACTGTCAGCAACTAGTCTGCACGGCTTGTCGAAAACTTTGGCTCTTCCTTTCAGGCGATTTCGCGGCCTTGTTTAAATCTACACCGGCAAGCTACGCGGGCGGTCGCGCGCGTTTGTGCTCCTAGGTCGCGCTTGCTCATGCTCAGGACAGACGGACGTATCTGCGAGAGGATTTAGGCGGACTTATCTGTGAGACCTTTTGCGGCGTTTTTCCATCGATTTTCCTGCCAAAACTGCAGATAAGTCCGTTCTTATATGCCGGATTTTAGGGTATCTCTCGAACCTGTACAGGCTACAACTTTGAACCTGGCTGCCTATACTTTTTGCTTCCTCCATTGTTTACATGGTTCGAAGCTAGTCTCTGTTGACCCACGCTATACGGCTTTTATCAAATGCTTTATTGAACGGAAGAGTGATAGTCTGAGAATGCTCAACCCTAGCAAAGCATTAGGCTTTTTTGTTCCTTTTCGCATTTGTTGTTTCATTAAGCCTGCACATCCAAGACAAAAGACAGTGTAGTCAAATTTGATGCCGCCTGCTTTTTCTTGTAAAAGAGTAAACCTTTCGATGGTCAGCGCAAATTTATAGGACTCCGCGTGATTCCAGTGTGCAGTGACCGCTAACTCAGCGAAGTTCGCAATCACGCAGAGCCCTATATTCCCAGCACAGTCTCACATGCTGTGACTCAAGCTGTTCAGGTGTCTCGGGTCTCAATGGCTACCAGAAGGAAGTCCTACACCACGCTTTTTGAGCTTAACGCGGTAGAATATGCCTTGGAACATGGAACATCGGCTGCAGCTGCTTATTGCGAAGTCTCTGCACGTCTGATTCGAAGATGGGAGGATGTGCCACTGAGGAAGCGTGCCAACCGGTTTGGAAAGCGGAAAATGGAGAAGATCGACGAAACTGTCTATTCATGGATTGTGCAGAGGCGAGAGGCAAGCAGAGCAGTGCTTGTCAAGGACATTCGAGCGAAGGCATTGCAGCTAGCGCAGGAGTCTGGCCTCCAGGACTTTAAGGCATCGGCGATGTGGTGCAAAGGCTTTATGAAGAGAAAGAACTTAGCTGTAAGGCAAAGAACCAGCGTCGGTCAAGCACAGCCGGAAGATTATGAAGAAATCTGCACGGACTTCAGGAGATTCGTGCAAAGGTAATCTCTACACATCTCCCCCCATAATCTTCGTAACGTCGATAAAGTTCCAATGCCCTTTGATATGGTTTAATCAAGACCGTGGAGCAAGTTAGAGCCGACGCTATGAGAATTGTCTCAACAGGACACGAAAAATCGAATTTTACCGTTGTCCTCTCTGTGACGGCCGCTGGAGAGAAATTAAAACAGATGATCATATTCAAGAAAAAGAGGATTCCGAAAGATAATTTCCCTCCTGGAGTGATTGCAGAGCAAATGATAAAGGTTGGATGAATCAGGAACTGATGCGGATATGGCACCTTGAGGTGTGGAACAAAAGGCAACGCTATGTCAACGATCCGTCGCAGTCATTGTTGATATTGGATTCTGCAAGGTATCGTTTCGTATTTTATCATTTTTTGAGCTTATCTTGCTTTCTTTAAGGGCCATCTGACAGAAGACGTTCTAGAGCTTTTCAAGGAGCACTCAAGGATCGCGGTCATTCCAGGCGGAATGACCAAATATCTACAGCCTCTCGACGTCGGCATCAACAAGCCCTTCAAAGACAATCTGAGGGCGGGATGGGAGCGATGGATGGCCGATTCAGCACGAGCAAGGTACACAACAGGCGGCGCCAGGAAAAGGATGACCTACGGAGAGGTAGCTGCACTAGTCTACGAGAGTTTCAATGCGATTTCTGAAGAAACGATTGCGAACAGTTTCACCAGGGCTCTCGATAAAGAATCAATGGTAGATGCCATGAACGAGGATTTTGACGCTTTGGTTGTCACTGATAATAACGCTGATGATCGTCGTTCTTTAAATGTTTTTGATGATGATGAACGTGGAATGGAACCTGAATAAAGATCTGTTGCTTTGATTCATTTTGAAATCAAAAAAGGCAGCGCAATTGCGCATCATTCTTGTTTTTATCTGAAAGAAAAAGCGGACTTATCTGCAGTATTCTTGGCCGCGCGAGGGTGAATTTTCATCGACTTTCCTTGTCAAAAAAGCGGACTTATCTGCTGCGGACTTATCTGATGGGTGGACCTATCTGATGGGAGGATTTATATGCCGGATTTTAGGGTAGTATCACTAGAAAGCGTTTTTGGAGATAAGCCTACGATTTCACCTGGCTGAAATTCGGTCCCATCTGAAAAATTGTCTTGTAAGAACATCCCCCACAATGTGCTCTCCAAGTATCCCTTGCAACCGCGAAATAAGCGTACAATGGGCATGCATACGCACAAATCAACCCTCGTGTGAAAAGTCTTGCTTGCATTTCTGTCGTAAATCAATCTTTATATTATTGTTCTACGGACAATGACATTCTGTGAATAGAGGCAATCGCTGAGTCGAACGGAAGTGACGGAGTAAAGCAGGAGCTAACAGAACCCATATAATACTCCTCACCACTCGCAGCATTCTCAAAAAGTTTATGATGTGAAATTGGGAATTCGCGAGTATACTAAAACGAGCTCAAAACACGACTTTTGCAATTACTCAAGAAATTCCTGTCCTGAAACCAAATTCTTTCTGGACATAAGATAACCCCCGTAATTTTTCCTATTTACTTATGGTGACTAAATATGTCTGCCACTTGTCATAAGCGAGCATAGCATGTTGAAGTAGGTTTGAAGAAAACGTTGCAAAAATTTCGAGCTCTTGCTTTTCTTGATTGCATTTATGGTTCTTTTAATATCTACCCTGTTAGCCAAAAGGCTCAATCTACAGAAATTAAGTTTACCGAATTTTGAAAGAAGCTATAATTAGCTTGGAAAAAGCAAAACGCACAAAACTTGTGCAGCAATTAATATATCTATTCCTATTTCAAAAATAAAACCGTTCACTATTATATATAACTATTACAAACCATTCTCTAAACTATTATTCAATTATAACAAAGTTCTCAGAGATCTAAACAAAGAAAAGTTGACTATGATAATTAATTCAGAATGTATTTGTAGTAAACAAGAATACCATAGTTATGTTGACTCTTTTCACAAACACATAGTCACTGGAGATCTTACAATAGTCAAAAACCAAACACTCATTGATATACTTAAAAAAGGTACTAAATATAGACAACATGAAAATCTTAGCAAAAATGATTTTGATATCTGGATAGAACAGACAGTCACAAATTACGTACAAAAAATCAAAAATACTTATAAGATCAATACGCATTTAGTCACAAACTTGTATGAAACCTTAAAAAGAAAAGTTCGTAAAGCTTTAAAACCTTATTTGCATTCTCTCTATGATCATAAGAATTCATTATTCAAAAAATTGACAGCTGAATTAAAAAATAACTTTATAATAAGTCCAATAGATAAAGCTAGTAATAACTATAGTTTTACTTGTAAAAAATATTACCTCCAAATTTTGATGAGGGAAATGGGAACGAACATAGATAATCGCAACCTTGTAACATTTGGGAGCATACAACAAACATATAAAATTCTTACTGGAAAAACTCAGCAAGATATTATCGATAAACACTCACAGCTATGCAGGAGCTTCAACGTGAAACAGTTAGACAAAGCTGCTTTACCAGTGATATATTGTATACCTAAACTTCATAAAAATCCTATCAAATTTAGATTTATAACTGGAGCTCATAGCAGTAGTATGAAGCCAATATCCATAGAACTTAGTAAAATTCTTGTATTTGTTAAACAACACTTTAGAAATTATGTTAATGCCATTAAGACTAGAAATAAAAGCCACGTAGGGTATTGGTCAATTGATGATATAAATATTAGCCACACATTAAATCACTTGCAATTTAACAATATGAAACTTTACTCAGCTGATTTTAACGACATATTCACTAATTTAAAACACAGACTTATCATTAATAACATTAGGGAAATATTTAAATTATGCTTCAAAAATTCTAACAAGAAATACATAGCTAGTAATGGTTATAATAAAATATTTTATAGCAATGACAGGAAGTATCATTGCTACAGATACTATGAAATTAATGACCTACTACATCTAGTTAACTCCTTGCTAGTCAACAGTTATTGCAGATTCTCAGATAACCTTTATGTCCAAACCAATGGTGTACCACAAGGTGGAAATGCCAGTCCTCTTCTAGCAGATTTGACACTCTCCTACTTCGAATATAAGTTCTCTAAAGATAATTTAGTAGGTAGACATTTCTGTCCTTTTAGATATATGGATGATATACTTATCTTATATATAAAGCTGAATGTCTGTTTGTCTGTCTGTCTGTCTGTCTGTATGTCTGTCTGTACGTATGTTCCGAATAGAAAATTCCATTTCTGAACCGATCCGGACTAAACTTGGCACACATACACTACGGGCCCCGGCGGGTGTCATAGGCTACTTTTCGTCATCGATCGATATCGATTTTATCGATTTCTTGCAAAATTTGAGCTACAAGGCTGGGAGTTGGCACAGGGGGGTAATCGAGCATGCTGATCACCCCGTGGGGGCACCCCTCTGCCAAATTCCAGCCCACTAGCTCGAATTTTGCAAAAAAGCGATAAAATCGACATCGATCGATAACGAAAAGTGGACTGTGACACCCGCCGGGGCCCGAAGTGTATGTGTGCCAAGTTTGGTCCGGATCGGTTCAGAAATGGAATTTTCTATTCGGAACATACGGCGGAGCCGGATAAGCCAGCTAGTCATACATAATATGCAACAGTCTGACATAAACAATATCTTGATCCAAGTCTATGAAAATTCTTTGAAATTTGAAACTACAAATCCAAACCAATTTAGTTGCTGTTATTTAGATTTAGAATTAAAAATACTAAATAACAGAATTTACACTAAGCTATATAATAAAACCGATAGCTTTCAGAATAGTGTAATTAGATTTCCACATAGGACTTCTTGCATTCCTATTAATGTTAAAAAAGCTACCATATACGCAGAAACACTCAGAATTGCTCGTACTTGCTCTTTGAAAGAAGACTTCATAGGTAGAATTCACAAACTTAAAAACCAACTTTTGGACTGCGGTTATGATGAAGGCTATGCTCCAATGGATCTAGCAACTACATTATTATAATTTAAGTTAGTTTATCTTCCTTTATTTGTTTTTGTTTTTGTTTTTTTATATATGATTTACGATTTTCCTTCACTACTGATGAGTTCCGGGAAGATCGTATGCTTACCTACTTTCCGTATAGTGATAGGAACGAAACGGAAATTAAGTAACTTTCTTTTCTTCTTTTATTTGAAGTGTGAAATCAATCTAGAACACCTCAGGAATGATTGTTGAGTGACCTCACATCTTACGACTAGTTCACGCGCAATTTCTTGAGTTACAGATCGATTTATATTGAGGATAGCAGTTTTTGGAAGCAAAATAAAAGAATTTTGTTATTTGAAGCAAATTCGAAAATTTATAAGTGCATTAAGATTTTCCTGAAATCTGAGAAAATGTATGTGATAAGACCGCAAACGAGTTAGTTTGCTTTGAACAAAACTTTCCTACAATACTTGTTTTGAATTCCGTCGCAATGAAATCTGTTTTTAGCTATGATTAGGGTTTTAAAGCTTACTTTTCCGATAAAAAAGATAATGGTGTTGGTCATTTCAGCAATAATAATAGTATTTCTAGATAAGCTGACTTCTTTTTGAACTAAACTTGAGAGTGCACAACAAAGCATATTCATCATGGCAACAGATGTGAATAGAGAAATACACTTTTCCAAGCATTTTCGAAACAATTTTCTCATAACTGCAATGAAAAATCATTTTGGACAAGCCTACTAGGAACAAATAATTGAAATACATTAGAAAGAGCTTGCGAACTAATTTTACAATGAAAAATGATCTAAAAACTGATTTTCAATTTAACTGAAATTTTGAAATCTACTGTTATTCAAATTGCAACCAACTGAAGAAGCATGAACGAAGTATTAGAGTTTTCCAATAGCTGCAACGCATTCCTAGGCTAATTAACAAGGGGCGGAGCGATCAGAGCACCGCGTACGGTACCCAGCTGGCGGCCTGATCACACCAAGCCGCAGCACCTACATCGTACTTCATTTCTGAGAAAGCTGCGTTTTCGAGTTCCAACCCAACTTTATAGTCAAAATGCAAAATTTAACGACTTCGACATTTGATCGTCTTGCTTAGCTTAGCTTAACTGGCACGGCTTCACGTGACATAGGGCCTCAGCACAGAAAATCCCATGTTTTCTGTCCTTCGTTTCGGATATCAGCGATCCCCTTAGTAGACGTAATTGGCTGCGTCCACGGACTTCCAGGTGACAAAATCACCAGCTGATTTTTCAGCTGTTTCATCCGTTGCATGAACAGTCTGCTTATCTAGTCTTCTTCTGCGATTTTTGCTTCGAGAGGAATCCACTCCGATGTTCTTAATGTCCATCTGTCCCTGTTCTTCTCATGAGTGACCGGCCCATTGATGCTTGTTTTCGCAACGTATTCCGACTCACGAAGACGGAACATTCTTCTTGAATCCCTGCTGGGATGTTCGACAAGATGCTTTGTGTGTTGGCTCACCTTTGGAAGACTGCGCTCAAGCACTCTGCGGGTAATCCGTTCAGCTTTCGAGGCGGCTACGGTGTCAGCCCAAGTCTCAGCTGCGTAACAGAGCGACGGGAGAACGGTTGAGTCGAACAGGTGACGAAGCTCCGGTCCATCACTTGGTCGATGGCTTCCATCAAAGGCCCGAAGGCGGCTCAGGCGGCTTTCTTTTTCCTGAATTCTTCCCTCAAGTCGTTCTCCATGCTCACCGAACGTTTAAGGTACACGTAAGAAGACGTCTTCATAATGGCGGTGCTTTCCAATTCCATATCTGCATCTCTGCAAAGGGCGTTCTTCATGAACTGAGTCTTCTTCCAATTTATTCGCAATCCAGTCTTCTCCCCTCTTCGTTTAGTTCCTTCTTCGTTATCGTTTTCACACCCAGAATTGGGCCAGACTGCGCAGCGTACGCTCCATTCTTTGTGCACATAAGCGTAGCCGTGCATGTGGAGCAGTCTAACCAAACCACACGGTAACATCACAAGAAATTAGGTTTTCAATAGTATTATCCGTTTTTTTTAACGGCTGTGAAGCCTCAAATTAAATGACATGAGCAATTGCACATTTAATGCAGCTTTGGCTTATCCTGGTGGTTATGTTACTGAACCAAAATCTTTCGAGAGCTTCCACATAATTGCCAAATTCTTCGCCACCGGCTACATGTGCTCGAAAATGAATGTTTTCTCAGACCAAATGTCAAGATTTCAGAAACTTGATTATAACCTAAAGTGACTCAAAGGTAGCAAGGAGTCACTGTAACGTTACTAGCTCTCTTTCAATGTGCCAAAGGTAATTTTTTGTAATTTAAGGGAATTTTGGTATCACTATAAATAAGACTGCTCAAAAGGCATGACAATAACATTGTAAAGATAAAGATGAAATGTAAAAGAAACCTCAGAGGGAGTGAGATGACAAAAACGGATAAACTTTCGGAACAAGCTGATTTACAATTTTTGTTGTAATTATTTCAAAGTAAAGATCTATTAAGTGGGGCAAAAGCATTTCTCCCTTGACGGGATCAGCGACTTTATTTTTGAAAATCCAACCAGCCTTTCTTCCTTGAAAGAGTGATTTGCAAACATGACCAACTTTGTTCTAGAGACTTTTGACGCCCCTGGATGTCCATATATAATTTTTTGCGAAAATCATGTATCACCTGTGCAGAGAACACTAGATTTGATTGGCCGATACTGATGAAAAAGTCGATTTTGCAGCCGGAAGGTTTTTTAAAAACAAAGTGGAACTTTCTAGATGAGCAAAGTAAATTTATGATTGGTGATTGATCTTTTTGTTGTCGATCGTCTCAGGCAAATAGTCTGTCTGCCTCAAAAAGCAGAAGCCTGCAGTCTCCACCCGTCTTGACAATTCAGAACGAAGTCTTTCGCAGATTTCGTCATAGCTTATGCGACCAAGCAGTACGTACATCAGCCAAAATGAGATTCCAAAAAAACTAAAGTAAATATCTGGGACTCAATATGTACAAGAAGTTTGAGATCTGCTTTGTACACGATTTATTAGTAAAATTTGAGATTTGCAGGGAAACTTCGTTACGGATTTAAGTACTTTTAGTTTTTGCCGAACCCGTGCAAAATCTATACTGTGGGTTGAGTCAGACTTCGGTCATTTGAATTTCTGCTAAGCTTAGCTTGTATGCCGATTGCCTGTCATGTGCCCATAGGGTTGCTATAGAGAACACTAAGCAATTTAAACTATCATAATACATGTAGTTCAATAGAGTTCCGGATCACTTTGACTCCGACAGGGAGATTTCAGCAAACGCTTCGAGCAATTATTGCCTATAAGTTTCCATAATTTATTTGTACTCCATCTTAACTTCGTTGTCTTTTTTGCTTTCCAGTCAGCATGCTCCAGCGCAGTAGTTCGACCCACGTCGTTCTACTCCCGAATCAGGAAGATAGCGAGCAAAGATTGCACAAAGATGCGTGACGCTTTACCTGGCGATTCCGCTACTGGTTTAGAATGGGAGGGTATTATTGGCTTATAGGTTTTGTCACTTTGCGTACCTTTAATACATAGAGCCATGAACTCTGGTGACATTCACTTTTAGCGACATGAGAGAGCACAACCTTCATCAAAAAAAAAGCCGAAGTCATCCGAGGCTTTGCGAGTGTTATTTTCATAACTAAATCGTGAATTTGAATGGAGCAAGTTAGCGTTTGCTTTCTCAAAAACGACCCAGCAAAACCGAATTTTTTTCGTCTTTGTAGCATTTCTCATGCTAAAAACGAGGTTTTATATAAATTTCCGTAGAATTTAAAAAACTCACTTCAATCAATGAACTTATTAGGCTACGATTGTGTTCAATAGTTCACGAAAGTTGTCGGAATTCAATGAAAACGAGAAACTGCGCCTGGAATCTTACTCAAAGAGTGCGTGCATAACGTAGACTTATCTCGTTAAGAAGTGTTTATTAATGCTTGCGACGTAGTCAATGTTCCTCTCCGTGCATAATGATCAGGTGATATATTATTTGGTTGTCCGGAAATTAATGTCTGTTTTGAATTTCAATCGCAATAAGTCATACATTTTTCATTCCTGAATAGATTTCAAGGTACCATTCGATAGAGCAAAGCAAGTCTACAAGATGGTTATCTTGCTTTGACAACAGCTCTGATCCACCTCGAGTTTCGAGCCAAAAACTAAAAAGATTCAACTACCCGAAAAATCGAGAAAAATACTCAGTTCATAAGAATCCTGCAGAAATTCTAACTTGCTCACTTAAACACTATCTACATAAGACATATATGTACGCTATTGCCGTATTTTTTCCTCTGTTAGAAATCGAAAAAACGAAAATGTACATGCCTTTGCCAAAGTGATGCTGCGTTCCCACATAAGTAGATGTGTACTACAAATCTGTAGAAGTATAAACGTAAATTTTCAGCTCTTTACATGTTTTAGTTCTCGAGAAATATCGAATATAGCTTTCATTAGTCAGGTGGTCCAAATTGAAATGCAAATTTCTCGAGAACTAAAGCTTGTAAAAAGCTGAAAATCCACGTTTTTACTCTTCTACAGATTTGTAGTATACAACTACTTATGTGGGAACGGCACAGCAACACTTTGGCAAATGCATGTAAATTTCAGTTTACTTGATTATTAACAGAGAAAAAAATACGGCAAAGGCGTGTATAGATGTCTTATGTGGATAGCGTTTACGTGAGCAAGTTAGAATTTTGTAGAACTCTTACGAACTGAATTATGATTTTTCTTGATTTTTCGGGCAGTTGAATCATTTTAGTTTTTGGCTCGAAACTCGAGGTGGATCAGAGCTGTTGCTAAAACAAGACTGCCATCTTGTAAAGCTTGCTTTGCTCTATCGAATGATACCTTGAAAGCTATTCAGGAATGAAAAGTGTATGAAAAGTGTACTTGTTGCGGTTGAAATTCAAAACGGACATTACTTTCCGGACAACCTGATAGGTTGTCCCGAAAGTTCTGTCATTTCATCATTTGAAAATTTGTAACTTTACGCTGTCTCAACCGATTTGCATACTTGTAATTATTAGGGTGATCCAAAAGTAATGGGGCAGCTAGAGAATAAATGCAGTTTTCTCAAATAGAAAAGCTAGTTGGAAGTTTTTTGGCAGATGTTAATACATAACTAAACCTTCTAATCGAGGTCTATAGTTGGGCACTGTCACGTGGCGTTATTTTTATAAGCGCTTAAAATTAAAGCTCACCACTTCAAGTAATTTTGAACTTTGAGCAGCAGCTCCGCAGTAAAACAAGTGAGCCTACCAAAGATATGTGCGCAGTAATGGGTGAGGGGTCTGTCACCAAATCCATAATAGGTCGGTGGTCCCGAGGCTTTAGAACAGAAGATATAGCGTTGGGTATCAGGAGACATATTACTTATTCTTTCATCGAGGTAATCAAATAAGCCCAAACTTAGCAGTTGCTTTCTGATAGTGCTTTTTAAGCTCTATCCATACATATGCAAACTACTTCGACTTTTCTCATTTTCAAAAGATTGTGGTCCAAAATATGAATTTTAGTCTGAAAATCTGCGCCAAACACCGCGCTTTTTCGAATGAAGTGCCTTTTTTGTGCAAAATAATGGGCAATTTTTGGATATTCAAGTAATCATTAAAAAGAGCTTGGAAAGCTCTTTCGAATGGTATGCCATATGTCGAGGGACTATTAGGTGCAGTAGCCCAAATTCGGATGGCGTTCAAAAAAGTCTGTCTGACTTCCTTGAAGCGCCACTCGAAGAAATGTCGGTGAGGTGCTGCAAGGTGCTGTCAAGATAACCTGCGAAGGTCACTTTATACAAAGGCGTTAAAATGCTGGGCATTCACAGCTAATCAGAAAGAAATCTTGAAGAATGTAAAAAAAATCAAGGTGCCCCATTACTTTTGGATCACCCTAATAATTTGTAACCGTTGCTTTCTGACTTTCTGCTAACAACACCGATCTGATTTTAAAAGGGAAGGCATCTGACTTAGCTCGGCCTTTTGCAGAGAGACATTGACATATTCTGAATTAGCCTGAAACACTTATTTCAAAAGTGCTATTCCTAGCTGCAGCGTACCCCTTCGAAACGAGCTGTGAGCTAATTACCGCACAAGACCAGCATACTACTCAACATGGAAACTGCCTGTAGGCAAAAATATGCCCAAAAAGGTGCTGGATATCGAAATAACATTACACAGAATCTTTCAAATCAAACTTGTGTAGCAAGTGTATTAGCACCAAGACGATGACGCCATAATGTCAGTAAGTCGGCAACTATGCAAATTTCGCAAAGAAAAAAATCTCAAACTTGTTTCAGACCTATGCATCGCATAGGAATGAAACAAATAATCAGTTTGAATCTGATGCAGAATATATATGTCACTTTCCAAGAGGCCGTGTTAAGTTAGGTGCCTTCCTTTGTCGGACAGATCCAACTCTGGCAGCAGTGGTTCCCTCTTCTCAAAAAATGTGCGCACAAAGCTTACAAACCGAAAGAGTGGTGACGTTTGCCGAAGCGACAGCGAAAAGTTTGTAAGTACAGGGCTTATCAAACGCAGTGTCGCCTGCGTTAGCATCTCCACTCCCGCGCTGGACTCTGCATCTCTTCCGCCACATGCTCTCTAATCACTTTCCCAGGGCAAGCGCGGGAAAGGCGTAGCCTTAATCGATTGTTCTGGGCTCGTAGTAAACCCTCAGATGTCGTGACGTATAGCTCGGAGTCTGCTGTGACACGTGCTGACTATCGTGGAGCGAGGCAGGCAAAGCGGCTATCCGCTGCCATTGCTGGCGGATGTAATCAATGCGGAGCACTAGGATAGTCGCACTTTGTCGCTATGTGTCGCGACATATCGCGACACATAGCGAAACATCACGACATGTCGTGATGAACGAGAAGTCGAAATATCTTGTCCAACATGGAAGCGCAGAGACATAGCTTCACACTAGAGCTCGGCTATGCCAACCTCGCAATAGGTCGCACATGCGCACAGTTCTCTATAACACAAGTCAGTTGCAATCAATATCAATAGCTGATAAGCGCCCAACTATCCGAACAACGAGCTTCTCCCTATTCTCTGGGTAGAGCTGCTGCCGCTTTGGTATTTAGAAAATGTGAGTTCATTTTGTAATTGCATAATTATGAACAAGTATGTTAAATTCATACTTGCTCATAATTATGCAATTTTTCCTCTCTATTTTTGCGATGCATCATTTGAGCAAACAATCCCTTCTTGTGCCAAGATTTTCCAAATTCTTGATCACTTCTTCAATCTCGGCACTTTCGATCACATATCCTTGCTGAATTGATGCGTTAGCCATGCACCTCTTGTTTCCTTTCGTTTTTATGAGAAAGGACTGTCTGGCGTTATGGCTAATGGAATAACCCATTTTTGAACGGGATAATTGAATGTTATAGATAATATTCTGATTTTTTCATGCATTTTCAACATCAACTGTACGTCTTACAAGGGAAGGATGGTTGGTCGAAGTGGCCTTTTTGAATGAGATGTATACCGTAATAAAGGGCATAAAACGCTGATTCTAAATCTGTCTTCGTTACCTGCGGCGCATTCCTGTACCAGAAGTTATGAGCGTTTATTGGAGAAAAAAAATTGAATGAGCAAGTAATAGAAAAACAGTAGTAACATTCTTCTTAGCGCTTAAATGGACCAGCGGCAATCTTTCCAGCGTTTTATAAAATAAATACTCTTAGATGAGATATATCCGCACTGGCTGTCTCATTCAAGCGTTGGGAAGATTTTTGCAGCTGTTTTTATCCCAGAAACACATTCATTTTGTGCTCTTTCAAACGCTCATAACTCCTCGTCCAGGAACGCGCCGCAGATAAGGAGGACATATTTGGAATCAGCATTTTGGATCCTCCAACAAAGTATACAAATCATAGCAAAAGGCCACTTCGACTGACCATCCTTACCTTGTTAGATCCTTTTTTCTCTTTTCTAAAATAAATTCTAATTCATTTATTGCATAAAAATTCAATTAGCCAGCATGCAAAAGACAGTGTCGTATGGGACTGTACACTGTACACTAACGTTTACCTCACCGGTCTCTGACACTGGCGCTGCTCTAAGTATGATGAGGTTCCTTATACACGTCATTTCATAGTATGATAATTGCAAAGGTAGTAATTGATTCTTCAATATACGGATCAGACATATGCAAAGAAAAATGCATATATTAATCCCATAGTGATTTTTCTGTGCTCTATTTACTACGTGCATTACTTTCTTCTCTAGTAAAACACGGCATAATTGCGTACAGCGCATCGAGTGTGTGCACTGTTAAACCATCAGTTCCTCGATGAACCTATGGTACCTACGCTTCCGGGGGGTGCGACATTCCGTATTGCTCGATCGGACCCGTCGGCTCTTGGCACGGAGCTGGCACGAATTTGGCAGGGCTGGCACGCAGTTAGCAAAGACGTTATACTTAATGGGGTGCACGATGAAGGAGCTGACACATAGCTAGCACTGCCCCAAACCTATGAGTTTTGATGAAAAGTCGAAG